TGTTGAGTGAACAAATAATTTGTTGTTATCGTGAACTGTCTAGTAACTTACATAAATGTTCAAGATGCGTACTTATGTGGAGTGTTATGCAGGACTGTTTGTGATTTTGGTGATATGTACATTTATTTGTTTTATTTATTTATTAAATTATTACAACAGTATTTTTTTATTTATGGCATTCAGTTTTCACCCACCTGTTCACAGTGGTCAATTTTATGAATGTATTAATACAATCTTATTAATGGAAAATTGTATTAGCAATATTCATACTTTATATGGCGATGTTGAGAAACCGTAAAATCATTACGCCTCTGTTAGGAAAGGAAGATACCACTTTCCTGGAGGAAAATAATCGGAGATGTTTGTTATTCATTTTGGTAATTCAAATTAATTGTATATGCATTTGTTGTGCTGTCACTGCACATGTTGCGAATTAATATAAAATGAAAATTTAACAATACATAAAAAGCAGCTTTCTGACTCTTCCAAGCTTGTCTCTTATGCCCTTCTTCTCTTAGCTGTAGAGAGTGAAAGTGAAGGACAGAGTAAAAGATTCTTAATAAGTAATTTAAGAAATTAACAATTTAAATGCAAACATCTTAATTGATTAATTTGTATTAGACATACCCGGAACACAGTTTAAGAAATCATTTTCTTTTAATGAGCATTTCTGATGATAAAAGCTACCTTTTTCACAATCCCAGCCAAATGCTTGGTCCCAGCCCAAACTTCTTACCAAAGGAATGATAATTTGTTTGGTCACATCTGTCACACCCCTTATATAACAATGACAGATGAGTATGGAGCAGTGGGGGGAAGCCAAATAACTTTGACAGAAACTGCTCCAGTGCCACTTTGCCCACCACAAATGTTCAGGATGATCTGACATGTGACTGGTGTGAGAGCCAAGACAAAGTTCTTTTGATGATAAAACATTGCACATTCTTTGTATGATACCAAATTCTTAATCCACTTTCAAAGCAATAGCATAAAATAAGTATAGATATGCAATGTGTACACCAAACTAGACGTGTTTTCAGATCATAGCATGTACTGAAACCTTATTAAATAAATATGCACGTATATGAAATGGTAAGGGTTAATGTTCTCAGTGGTGTGGCTAGTAGAGTGCCACCAGTCCACTAAAATTGGAGGAATACGAGATGTTTTCTCGTCTCCTTTCCACACAAGCTTTACTGTTTGCATGGATGTGGCTTTATCAATTATGCAGCCTGACTGCTACACCATTTGATCACGTTTTCATGCACTAGAGGAGCAGAATGTTTCATCACTGGACCAGAGGTTCCAGTCTTCGCATTCATGCTTGCTTCAGAGAGAAGAAAAAAAGAGAATTTGCCCTTAAGCACAGAATGACTGTGACTGAGTTGAGGTGTGTTGTGTGCAGGTACTTCTCCTTTCATACAAGATTCTTGTAATGATGGCAAATTAGTCCTTTTGTTTTAAGAATATTATTTTTGGTATCCTTATACTTTTTGGCACTAAACAGTGAGTTTGTGGGAAGTAGATAAAAATGTTATTCAGGATACTTTTTAGAAGAAACTGTTGTTAAGGAGATAATGAAAATAATAGAATATGGGAGACTCAGCCCACCTTCAACCAGCCTTAAGAATGTATGTAAGAACAAGTACATGTACCCCAGGAATTTGTATGTTTAGCTGCATTACTCATGGTTAATGGCTTGTAATAATCTTAGAAAAACTGCCTAGATGGCCATGCTTGTAGCTTGAAGAGTAAAGCTAAATATTTCTATTTGAGGGGCCTCTCCTAACCACACAACTTCTCAAAAAATGAAAAATACAATGTTGAAATGTTTCTATCAGTGGTCCCCAACCTTTTTGTGCCTACGGGCACATTTGAGAGTTTATGAGATCGTGGCGGGCACTAACCAATTAACAAAGGCAAATTTTCTTTTCTCTGGACAAATAAGATATGGACACCAAATAATACACAAAACAACATGACGTTTAATGATACAAGAAACCAGTGGTTTTATAAGTACAATTATTATTACTCAAGTGGGAAGTTAGTGTGATGTTCGGCACTGTATTTCATCGGCCATTTTTTCAGATTTGGGAGTGTAGGATTATGTTGCTGCTCATAAACAATCGTCAAGATGGGCATCAGTAAGTAGAGATCTGTGCTTTGATTTTATAATGTTCATGGTTGAACGGCCTTCATCATTCAGTATAACCTCTTTCCGTATCAATGCGGGCACCCAAAAAAAGCCATGGCACCCGTGGGCACCGCGTTGGAGACCACTGGTTTAGATGATTGAAAGGGTTGTCTGTTGCCATTTAGAGGTTACTGTCAATCTGAATCACTCCTTGATAGAGGCAAATCTATAGAATCTTTGCAACTGCTAGAAGATTATGATCCTCTTTTGAGTGACCAGTTAGACGCAGCCACTGTTTTCAAGGGCACATCTTCGGTCTTTCAGAATGATTTCATTAAAGCCATCCATGAAGTGATGGCATTTTATGACAGATATAAGAACCACTTAATAATGGATGAAACTTCTTAATAAATTTATCACAGATCTTAGGCTGTGAATGTTGACAAGTTTTACTGAAATTCTTAGATCTGTTCATTTCTACCACTTTTTCATAGTACATTTCATCTTTTGCAACACTTTACACCAGTTCCAGAACATGTTCTTACACACACATCAGTTATGAATTAGATGACATTTGTTCGGAAACTCAAAGCAGAAATCATCTGATACGGATTCTGTGTATACAATTACGTCTCCACTGAGTACCCTGACAATGAAACAACGTATTACACACGATAGGAAAGACACCAATACATACATTAATGATTCTTGAGATCACTCTGTTTAGTGCACATACACACACAGAAACATGGACACTATCCATATTACATGCTCTAATGTCTCTTCAGATGACTCCACTGGCTGAATGATCTGTCACACACATCATAGGATATCGATGTAAGAAAAGATGTTTCTTCAGACAACTCGTCCAAGCGAAAGATTTATTACACACGTCACATGAATACGGCCGCTTACCACTATGTACAAGTTTATGTATCTTCAAATCTTGATTCCGTCGGAACGAATTATTGCACACATTACAGGTATATGGACGCTCTCCACTGCGTGTGCGTTGATGTTGCTTCAGACCACTTGGCCAACGGAATGTTTTACTGCATACAACACAGGAATAGGGATGTCCCCCACCGTGCTCAAGTTCATGTTCATTCTGAGGACTCTGCTGAAGAAAAGAGAAAAGAATTATGATAAACTTAACATAAAAAAGAAGAAGAATGAGTTTGAAAGCAACATGATAGGTTTTTCTACCAAATACCATTACCTGACCAAAATTTAGTGGAACGTGTGCAAGAATTTGAAGTCCACATAGCAGTTTACAACAGTTAATTCACTAAGGTATCTGAAGTAATCTGGAGCCCCTGACCTCAAACTTCAGCCCCCGATATAACATCACACTCAAACAATAAATACCAAGTCACTCAGTCATCTTGGTTTTTACTCTGTACCAGGTTGGATCTGAATTCCGTAGTAAACACATTTTTTTACACAGTGGGACAGCTACATGTAAATATGTTGGTTCAATCACTTGATGGCTACTTACAGCAAGAGATTATATATTTTGGAGCCCTTGAATTCAACCCATGGTCTTCCATTGCATAATGTGTTCTAACTTTGAATGGTAGGTCACTGTATTAAAAGGTAAGCACACAAAATTGGCAAATAAATTACTCTAGGTGCAGTGGGATAGGAAGATGTCAATTTGCTAGTTCATTTAGTTCCTTGATACTTATAACAGAAAGTTCGGTTTCTTGTCAGGCCAGAACACTGATACATATCAAATGGACTCCTGAATGACAGCATGGTTAAGAGGTTCGAACAAATTTTTCTCTAATGCATGAAATAGAAGAAAAGTCACGTATGCCAACTATCCCTGGATTCTCATCCTATATCATAACATACATACTCAAGTTCTTTGTAAACAGCCAGACTTGTTATCAGAAAACCTATAGCAAAATGATTGGGCTTCCTGCAACAGGCAAGCAAAAAGTTAAACAATCAGAGTCAAAGTATCAAGAAGTGGGGATATATGCTGTCATGATCTGCTAATGCGAATGTAAATTCAAAAAATTAACCTAAATAAATAACCCAGATTTTTAGAAATGTTTTGACTGACAACATGAACCTTTCTCTATTTGTCACTAGGAATTCCAGCATAACTTCATGCCTTAATAAGTAACAGAAAACAACTAAAATTTACTGTTCAGACAAAGTGATGTACAGTCTACAGCAGGGGTCATCAACCTGGTCCCTACCGCCCACTAGTGAGCGATTCAAGCTTTCATGGTGGGCGGTGGGGTTTTTTGTCCGTTGTTACAAATTTTGTTCTTCCCCCATATATCGAATACATTGCTAACAACGTCGCAAGTTTGACTTTTTAAAATATGATTTTGCAATTTACTTTTGAATTCCATCTCTAAACTTTGAATATAGATAATAATTCACCGGACACTTCTCGAAGTATACTCGTGGATGAGGGAGCAACGAATGAGCTCCGTAGCCAAAGGGCTTACCACCGGCCATCACTGTCTTTGAGCTGTACCTCTTTCATGGCGGTGAGCAGTAAGTGCGGAACCGGTGGGCGGTAGGAAATTTTACCATCAACAAAGATACAAAAGTGGGCGGTAGGTATAAAAAGGATGACGATCAGAACAGAATGTTCCTTGTAAAGTGACTCGATCTCATCTGTACTCACCTGTAAACAGGCATAACAAGTAACAGTGTGCAGTTCAATTTCGGCTAAAATAGTGGCACCTCCCTCTTACTACAAGACAACTAGAGTGATGTTCAAGCATAATAAAAGCATGCATTGTGAATTTTAAATGTCATTTATGTCCTAAAATTTCTGTAAGTATAAGAGCTTTGATTTTCTAAAATAAATATTTGTAAGTACAGAGATCATTTACAATCACTTCATATAAATCCATCAGACTCACTTCAATATTAAGGTGTAGTTTCTGCACAGATTTTTGTACATAATCTACAAAGTTGTGGTATTTAAGTCAACCGATTTGACCCCACGGAATATCATTACCAAATTTGTTGAACACCAGGACCTGTAGCAAGGCTCGGAAGAAAAGTGATTCACTTGGCAGCTGTCAACAAGAAAGGGTAAATATAAAATTACGATCACACCCACCACATGTCTCTGACTAAGAAAAAAACAAGACAGCTAGCCATTTTCTCCATATGAACCTCTGGGTCTTAGCAATATATAATACAGTCCACCAAAGTTGCATACAAGAAAGTCAACTAACTAAACAACACATTGTAACATAATCAGTGGTTACACAGTGGGTTACTTGTTTAAAAACATAAGATGGATTTATTTCACATTGTTACAATTACTTACTGGATTAATGTCTGTTGCTTCACAGATCATAAACCTTTCAGTTCCTGCTTATCCCCCCTGACCAATCCACGATTAACCAGATGCTTCAATGTGTGTATTTACTGTGTATCATCACAGGCTGTGGTGGTGATGCTGTAACATGCTTGCATATACAACCCAGTAGCAGCCCCTCAAACTCTGTTGACATCACGGCAGCACACGTAACAATATGAAAGTTTATGATATATATCAATTGAGCAGCAGCCTTTGTCATTTAATGATACTATACCAAGTGCATAGATTATGATGCAATGAATTAAATATAAGGATTACCATGAACTGAATGAAGAGGGATCTGAAAGAAGGGGTTAAAGGCTAGTTAATGCAGTTTATCTAGGAGAGAAAAACCATGAACAACTTGAGATAAGAATTTTGGGATATCATCACATTTATCCATCCTTTAGTTGAATTCAACCAGCCTTTCATAATTACCTGATGGGATTCTCCTATCCTGTCCAAAGAATATGCAGCTAGCATTCTAGCGGCCTAAAGAAATTTGTTGCATATGCAAGAACTGGCTCATTGGGAATCCATACAGCACTCCTCTGGGTAATGGAGGATCCACATCAGTCCAAAATGGACTACGTACACATTCTTCTTCCGGCAGATGATAACAGCAACCAACATTGCACAAGCAGCTGAACTCCTCCTTACTGGCAAACATCCGACAACAGTCAGGACCAAGGTCTCCACATGTATGAAGTCCAGCAAGGGCCATCTGCTTGCACATTTCTGGGTGAAAGTGTTCTTTAACTAAGCTGCAGAGGTTTGTCTGTTGTGTTACAAATGCTGTCACCTGTTTGTATAAAGTCTTGCTTTGTGACTGTTATATCCACCGCCCTCCGAGATCTTCGTACTATTCTGAGACTTCCTGTGCTTCCCCCTCCGTGGTTGAGAATTACCTTGCTTAAGTATGTTGGCCCTATGGCACAGTACATTCTACATTTTCTGAAAACCAAAGTATAAACAAAATTAAAAACGTCTCAGAATGATGAATGAACCCATGACCTTACAACAAAGAAATTGAGTCATACACAGAAACACTTAAAGTTTATCATCACATACACCAGTTTACTTGTTCACAGAAAGTAATACATTACATTGCAATTCACACATTCCTTCTGTAGATCTGACATTGAGGTAACTATTCCTTGCACTGAAATTCCATGAAGACCCATATTTCTTGTACTGTCAAGATAGTTTATGAAGTTTGGAATACTTTCTATTAATTCACTCTTTTGTTCACATACAGAAATCCCTTTGGCATGATACATAAATACCTTGTTAAGGATTTCAAGTTCTATGGACAAAACTTCTTTTTTTATACCATCAGGTACATAAATTTCCCACATCTCATTTGTGATGAAATTCACCATGTGACAATTTGCAAGTGGTAACAATGGTTTTAGATACTTCATAATTTCTTCAAGCCTACTAATGATCTCTGCTTGCATTTTGTCAAAGATTGCTATTATTATCATTTAAAATAAAAACTTGCTTAATTCTGGAAATGTGCCATCTATTTTGAGTAGGGCACAAGCTTTCTTGAACCTAGCCTCACATTGTCATGAGCAGCAATTGAATCAACATCTTCCATATTAGAAGAAGGGAAATGGTTTATGACATTCGACACTTTCTGGAGGGCACTGACCACTTTATCTGGTATATCATGTTTCCTCTTGTTACTAATACTTAGCAATATGTCTATCACACCTTTATAATATCCTATTTCAGCACCTCGATGGTAACCCAAACGGAATCCTTCCTCTTCTCCTTCGAAACATCCTTTCTGGAAACCTTCCTGGGAACCTTTTTTTTTTCTTCACTCAGTGCTATAGACTTAAACACATCATTGATATCAGCAGTTTCATCATTAATTTCCTTCATAGTATGTTCAGCTGTGATTTCAAATTTTTGTCCATTTGACATCTGTCACTGTAAACAAATTTCCCATATTACTCCTTCATGGTTACAAGTTAGAATTTGTTTCTTGCCAATAATATGGTAAATCTAAAATTCAGAACTGAACTGCCATTACACCCTTCAGCATATTCAAAATAAAGTATAATATACAAATTTTGAAGCAAGTTTCCCCACCAAAACAGTAAAAAGGATATCTGAAAATAAAGAGTGGATTGATAAAGCCATCAGAACCAATAACATTTCGTCAGTATAAGTAACAACACAGACAGTTTCAGGTGTTCCATATTACAAGCATACGATACATAAATTGCAAAACAATACTCGTCGTTTACGAGCCTTGACGCGTTTCTTTATCATTTGACAAACGTGCAGTGGGGATGACAAACCCGTTATCTAAATTTTCTGTAAAACTACAAACCGTTTTCCCCTTTTAGGTTAAGAAATCTACAATTGTACT